TCTCGCATCGATCGAAATAGACGACCAAACGATATTCTCCCGCTTTATCGAGTTATTGTACAATACTCAGTTTTTCGATCGATATCAATAATCTGCTTACGGAGCAATGCTGTTAAATGCGAAAACTAACGTTCATAAATATTTCAGCGCAATAATATCAACTCCCTTCCCTCTTTCGATATTTATAAAACCGTTCGAGAGAAAGAATCGCAAATGGAAGCACAATCGGAACCAATTGACCCGCGAGACGCGAACTCAGATAGCGCGCGTTTCCGACCAATTTTACTTATGATACGGCGGGATAAAATCGCACGACAAACAAATTGTCGGCGACGAAATCGCTACGAATAATTCTGAAGCGCAACGTTTCACTCCCGAGCGCATCACGGCAAATTGCGGGAACGTTGGAAATACGCGCGTCGCGGAAAATTAAATGTCAAATTAATGCGGACGATAAATTCGCCGAGGCGAACGAGCGCGTCGCGAACGTGTACGGCGGGGACAGCAAATTTACGGCGCATTATCTGGAATTTAATTCGACGACATATAAACGCGTGAAGTACGGCTGATAAGACCAAGAGAGAGAAAGAGAGAGAGAGAGAAGCGGCCGAGTTCTCTTCCTCCGAAGTATCGCCGCTGAGATAACGAAATCGGTCGCGTCTACTTTACGAGTGCTAAATCCTGGCACGGCTAAAGCCGCTCCTGCACTTGCACGCCGATAAAATTTGCTGACACTTCGTCAAGCACATGTTACGTACACGGCTTTCAGGTTTTTTGTCATAAAAAAGATCAAGTGTCATTCCCGATACCAAATTGCAGTCGTGTGTACTGCGCGTCGTTATGAAGCGTGTATATTAAAGTCGCGCTGCAATTTAAACGAGTATCTCTTTCACCTTTTGTGCAGAAAAGCGACAATTGGAAGAGCGATAGAAGTTAAGCTGATCTGGATACCAACGAGGACGACACAGCTTTGTTACTTGAGACGTCTGTCTGTGCGGATCTTGCTTGTGACCGTCAAAGAAGTGTGTAGAGTCAAGTCGTAATGATGAAGATATATATATATATATATGTATATACATATTGTAACTATTTTCAAATTTAATGTCTTCCACTTTTATGTCACTTTGCATAACGAGCGTTCTCGCGACAAAATATTCGAATAATAAAAAAGACAAGAATTTAAGTGCAGAAAACAAAATTTGTTGACAAATAAAAAACGAAGAGATGAAATTAAAAGATGTTTGACGAAATACATCTCTAATATGCTTAAGAGACGCGACGGAAAGCTGTAGTTTCTATAGGCGCTTCAAAGGCCTTTGTAAGTTATTAGGAATAATTCCTCCCGATTATGCAAATCTTTCGGGATGGGATATTAAAGCCCGTGGCGTTTCCAAATTAAACTTTCGTGTCGGAATAACGAAGCATCTAAACTCGAAAATTAAAGTTTCTCATTTTCTAAATGCGAAAGGTGGGCAATTCGTTAGGGAAGTTTATAATAAAGCGATAATTGGTGGCTAACTTGTTATTCGGAGGCGCTTACACTCGCTTATTATTATTGCGTTAGTTTCAGATTCGTTTTCGCGATATATTCTGATTTCGTAGCGCAATAAAATAAGGTTATATATATAAGGTTATATATATATATATATTTCGGTACGCATCTCGCGTTGCATATAAAGCAAGATAATATCAAGCCGTAGTGTGGTGTGCACGACAAAGATGCGCTTAAAATTTCAGTGCAATTTCGAACCGCAACACACTTACGTGTAATAAGATAACTCGGGATAAGATGCCACCATATTTTAGTTTTACCCGGGTTTGCCGAAGCGTATCGTTTTAAATATGACTTTTTGCCTTTTTGGCATCTTGCTCCATTTGGCATCTCGTTCCGGATTTTACTCTATGTTATATCCTGTCGTTCGTGCCGCGTGTATTTTCAGCAGTTCATAACGCATTCAGTAAATATCGCATCAATATATCGCTATACACAACAGAGATTTTAGTCGTTTTCAAATAAAAGGTTGTAATAAAATTGACAACTTATATAGTCGAAACGTCAAACTTTCAAGAAACTTTGAGAAAGTTCTCGTCGGGAATATTCCGCGAAACTTTGCGGAAACGTATAAAGTCACCGGCATATGCGGCATACGCGAGATTCTTCGAACGGGCGAGAGAGTATCTCGAGAAATCACGCGAGCCGTTCGGGACGAGCGAGATCGGCGATTCTAATTAACGCCGTATGCAAATTTGTATGTACATACGTTACACATCGCGATTATCGTGTGCAGCAAATACCAGCGTATTTTAATTCCGCAAGCAGGGCACTCAGCAAATCGCTTCGTCGTCCGAACTTCCCCGAGACACGGTCGACTGAATTTAAAGCAGCGCTTCACCTCCGGCGACGTTATCGATCGATCTCGAGAAAGATTCGCCAAGAAATTGCGCTCCGGTCAACCGACGGAACGAACCGTTCGCACGATGTCGGAAACTGCTTAAGCAAGGGAAAGACTCGAAATTATCAGGGGGGAAAAGGAGAAAGCCGCGGGCTCGACTAAAAAACACTCCGAGGCAAAGAGGAGAGAGGAAACCCCGTCAAAAAAAAAAAAAAAAAGAGAAAGAAGATAGTGCGAAGAAGAAAACAAGCAAACGGGAAGTTCGAACCAGGCAACTTCAGCAGTAGTCACGGTCGATGTGGCCGTTGTAGCGAGTCGACGAAAAGCATTGTCGGTGCATGTAGGTCAACCAGTGCTGCACTTCCGGTGACGACATGCCGACGAACGAAACGACAGGAAAAGAGAGAAAAAAGAATAGGAGAAAGAGAAAGAGAGAGAGAGAGAGAAGAAGAAATGGCTGTAAAAGCAAAGCGCTATAATGCGAAATGGAAGGAAGACGCGGAGATTCGAAACTGTAAGAGGACGTTGTGTCAACATCTTGGTGTCTAAAAGGTGCGATTCATCGCCTTTAACATTTCCCCGGGAACTAAATGACCAGTTTGAGGATTCTCGTTAAGGATAACGTCTTAACCCTTGTAATTGCGTAACTGCATGCAATTTGAACTGCTATTCCCTCGTCGGGAGCTCCGACACTATGCATTGTGTAATGAAGGGGACTACGTCGTAACGTTTAATTAAAGGGGACCGCGAATAAAGAATGAGGGCAACAATATTGTCTCACTATCCTTAAAAAAAAGCAATATTAAAGTAATTAATATGGTAATATTCTTACAAGACATTGAAACGAACAAATTGGACTTTTTGTTTTGCGCCTCACGCAAGATGTTTGTATCGCGCAATAATTATTAATCGCGACTAATGCGATTATAATAATTCAATTTATTCTATTTGCGTCGTTTAGAGGAACAGCGAGCGTGTGCGAGTCAATGCGAATCTAACGACTCTGTGTTATCGCAGATCTGATGTGCCGTCGAAATCCCCAATCTCGAATTTCTGATATCTACCTGTTCGCAATGAAAGAGACACGTTCACTTTATCGGTCCGAGTACCAAGCCGATTTCAAATTGTGCACTCTCAGCTGTGTCAAAATGTTTACGCAAACTTGCATATCATCGTTGATACAGGTTGCATTAATTCGATAACGTGCTAGTTTGCGAATATTACAACGCTTCTAAACGAAGCACTTATCGATAAAATATTAATCCGCTAACTGCAACGGCACGATGAATTAATTCTCACTTTGCAAATGAGCACGTATTAGATGCGTCATTATAAATATCAGGTCTCCCGACGAATAAATAAATAAATAAATAAATAATTGATTATAAGTACCTGTTTTGTACAAGAGGGTAGAGAAACTTTTGGCCGTCAATGCACAAATATAACATGAATACTAATGAATGTACTACGGTATTACCGAGGGAGGGGAGTGGAAGGCATAGAATTTCCATTAAAGATACTCGTTACAAACTAGGCTAAAGGCAAACCATGAAAACACGGTGCATGCTTCCTCCTGAGAGTCCACGGTCGTCGTAAGTAATGGTCGGTTTTCATTTATTTTTCAAATATTCCGCATATTGTTTGTGTGTGTACGTGTGTGTGTGTGTTGTTCTGGTCGAAAAAAATGCGATACTCTCTGTTATAAAGATGCAAAAATTTTACGTTGCATCCGGTAAAGCACGGTATACTTTTAAGTAGGTTAATTTCTGGACAGTTTCGCGCACTGTGCGAAGTTTTAAGTCTTCCCTTAAAGATCGGTGCATTAGAGTACTCTCGCCTTTACTAAACTTTTTATCTTCGCTCGTTAATGACGCTAAGAATATAGTTTTGAAGAAACCTTAAAACTTTTATTGAAATTTGTCTCAGTTAATGAGGATTTAATTTCAAACGTATCACGAAGATATATCACAAAGACACGAAGGCAGGCAGTGAAATAAAATTTCCCAGTAACTGACGCGCGTATTTAAAAAGCTACTTTAAAAGTATAAATCCAGGCGGAAGTTGATTCCGGCAGACTTTGAAACAAGTTTTGAACGTTACGCGTACGTAAGATATGGAAAACTTTGTGATAAAGTGAACCAGACAAAATCACACACACGCACATACACACACACCATTATTGTGATATATATATATTTACCACACTTTTTTTTTTGTGATATATATCTACGCTTAATATGCAAAATATCAACACAATCGTCGTCGTTAAAAACGACGTAGAACGTGCATTTTTTTTTTTTTAATACAAAACATTCTAGTAAGATTCATTTGCCTGTTATTTCTGCGAAAGTCGTATTTCACGCGTGTGTGGAACATAGTTAGATTTAATACCAGTTTAAAGGTTTTATGCGAAGTGCGCGCCACTGCCCATTGGAAAATGTTTTCTTGCAGGTCTTAAAAACCTCGATGTACGTAATTCGTTCGAGAACCCGCGGCGCCTCGAAGCCACTTTAATGCCCTCGTTAAAGTCCTGAACGGTTGAGGTAAAGCTTTTATAAATTACGGCCTCGTTATATTCGTAAAATTAAAAATTGTGTGTGTACTTACTTTTTAACGAAGCCCCGCGGAAGAAGATCTGCGCTTTCCCACCAATCTGCTCGTCACCACCTGTTACAAAAAAAAAAACAGAGGACATAAGTTAGCGGGAGAGAAAAGCAGCGGAGAGTGGCATAAAAAAAAAAAAGATCCACCAGTAAAGCAAGCTTATCCAGCGGCTTTGTTCACCCTGCCGGACTTTAATGTCCGATACGATCTCGTCGACGTCTCGCATAAAAAAGGTTGCTGCAGCATTTTATCGAATCCTGAAATTTTGTTGAATTCTCAAGGAAAACAAGTCGCAGCTAGACCTCTCCCGCAAATGTATTTTGCGCACAAACAGCAAAGATGGAAAAATCGCTGTGATATTTTCTTTTAGATATTTTTTCACAAGCGTGCGGAACGTGTAACGAACGACGATATGTATGTTGGGCGAACATCACCAACGGGGGAGGGTAACGCGCTGACAGTTTCTCCGCATGAAGCATAAAATCTCCGTCGCGCGTCGAATTATATAAAAGCAACAATTAAGAAAAACATCGGGAAACGTGAGAGAAAGAAAAACGGACTTTTTTACACAACGCGTACACACACAGTTTCGCACGCGATCCGATTATCCCGGTGAGTGGCGGCCGCGCGTTTGAACGCGCGGATTCAAGCGACGTTTGCATGCGTAATACCCAGTCGGATACGACTTAATTACACGGCGTGCCATAAACCTGCGTTGAATCATTGTCACAATCTTCTCGATTTACGCCAGCCGGCGCCGCGGGCAATGGATTACCGGCCGTTTCTATCGCATGATTTACGTCCGAATGTACTTTGCATTCCATTTACGGGGAAAGGGTTGCACTGGGAGGACTCGGTAGACAGGGTGGGAAAAGAGGGGTAATCCCCAGGTCCGCGGCCTCACGGTAAGCTCCATACATTACGCCTTATTTACACGCATGTGACAAGTTTCTCGCCCCGCCCTCCCTTCCACCCTCCCCGTTCCCTTCGTTCCCATTGTCGTGTTCCGATGCATTAGCTCGCATGTGCGTTGAATTCGTCAGCACGAGTTTGCGCTCTATTGCCTTGTATTACAATTAATATGCACAACTATGACCGCGTTCCCGGTGCTCGATAACGCGCGCCCGATTGCGCTCAACCGGCACGTTCTCCCCCTTTCGAGCGTGACAAAAGTGTTCTCTGTAAAATATTCTTAGATATTTTTTTCTTCGCGTCTGTAATAATGGCCTATCACGTTAATTTATACGAGAGTTATATATTGCACCTCTTCAAGTTGCGCTAAATCTCGAAGATATAAGACCGGTGTTCACGTGAGAAAGTAATAATTTATAGTTTTTTATAGCACATACAGAGAAAGAGGGAGGGATAGAGAGAAAGAGAGAGTGCAGGTAGAGTTCGTAAACTGTAAGCTTGATTGCTTCGTTACGACATAAATTAAAGTTGAATGCGAGATATAAAACAGAAACTACTATAAATATATTGTCAAAATGATCTTAACCGATGTTGGACACGCACGGGCTTAGATGACAAATGATAATTCTAATCTAAATCTCTACGAAAATGTGCACCTTAGGATTATAAAACTCGCAAGGCTAATTGCTTAGTTAACAAAGTTGTGTATTTTTGCGCAGCGCGAGGATTAAACCGAAGTTGCAACACATTATTAATTTCTCCAACTTTAGCGCCATAATATCGCGCTGCAACAGCGCGGCACGTTTATAACGTTACATAGCTAAATAATACCCGGCAATGCGACCTGAAATAATGCAGCGAGGTATAACAAAGGTCTCTTTGTTTAAAACCGTCTTAACTCTCATTACGTCGGAGCGAATTCGGTTATTCGAGGCCATTCATTATTAATATGATCATTATATTTAGATATCAGTCAAATCCTTTCAACACACACACACACACAACAGCGTTTTTAATTAAACTCGCGGTATTTCTTGTTCCGTTTTGTTGCGCGAATTTTAAATGCAAAGTTTCATGAAGGGCGAATATTTCGCATCACGGTGAAGATCGTCGAAGTAACCTTGGTAGTAATTAGAAGTTTCTAGCCGTCTGGAGAATCTTTCGGTAACGGATCACGGTCCGACACCTACCGTGTACCGAGTTAGAAGGGTGGATCAAATTCGCACACTATATACGCAGACAAATGTGAAAGTTGCTCATCCGTGTGATCACGTTTCTATACCCACACACGGAAAACAGAATTTGCGCGCCCGAATTTGACGCTCTCAGAATTAACCAGACGAGAACCGCGTGTTCTCGTCCGGCACGCACGTAGTAACCAAATCCTGACAATTGAATGTCAACCGAGTCGATCGCATTTGATTACATTGGAAAATCGCGCTTCTTGCTTTAAATTTTCACATGTTAAATTTAGAAAGAACTAGAGGAAAGTATACACATTATAGAAAATGTTTCAAATATAATTAAAACAGAAAGAAAAAAAACAATTTAAATGTGTTAAACATTTCGTCGGTTATTAATTGAAATGATGAAGAAACCAAAAAGTTTGTGGTAAAAAGTGGAAAAACTTTATGGATTAAACTATATTCTAAGTTTATCTGAATTTATTTACACGCGCGAGGTACATTCGCAAACTCGTATGTTATCTCAATATTAAATAGCACAACCGCGATGTATATATCTCACAGGCGATAACTAATTCGTATAGCGATCGAAGTCACATTGCGGTGAATGGTCGCACGATGATACCGATAGATAAATCGTATGATAGATAACGGTGATCTAACTATAAATTATACATTGTACGTGCATGTGTAATTTTCATGCTGACCAGTTAATCGCACCACAAGCGTGATCGCGTTGCGTCAAATCGTGCATTCTATAATTACCTGCATCGAATATTCCGTCAACATATCACTAAATCATAACGTCCTAATATATTGTTATAAAATATGTAGTGCGCGTTATCGTTGTATTAATTCGCGTGCTTATAAATTCGTTGCAATTTCTCCATTTCTATGAGAGATGGATGAAACGAAATGACGCCACCAGAACCCACGTAGAACTTTCGTCTCGAAAAGCCGAACGTAACATCGCGAGAGATAACACGCACAATTTTATCTTAACAATATCAATTACTTAACGCGCGCATAAGAGATTTCTTGATATAAAAATATTATCTCGCGTTACTTAATACCAGAAAAATCACAAATATATTAGTTAGTACTCTTACATTCGAACGTGACGCTGTCCAACGTTAACAACGTTCTTATATTATATTATACCTGGTGTTCCAGATAAAACATTCTTCACGACAACGAGGACGTGATCGCCAAGTTCTCGATAACTCGAACGAACAAGAAACACGAACCGGCGGGATGTCGTGTTGATTTGCACACCGCATACAAAGTTTCACTTAGCATATCATCGCGTAGCACAGGGCAAAACATGGCGTCCACACAATGTATCTCGCAGAGATATGTATATATATATATATATATATATACATGTTAGCGTTTGCACCGAATAAAACGTTACAACTTGGGCGGAATTAATCATTGTGTTTTAAACACAGATGAAAATCGATTTCTACCGTTTTTAACATTCTCCTTTAACGTTGAAATGTGTGCACCTGTTTAACGAAATATAATTAATTTCATATTATTTTCCGGATTTATACAATTTTCAAAAGCTTTTACGCAATTTGTTATTGCGCGAGCAAAAAGTTGCTCACTGTTGTAACATCTATATTATATTTAAAATGTATAACACGGCACATAATTTTATTCCAAATTAAATTATAAATCCGTACAAGAAGAGTGAGAGAGAGAGAGAGAGAGAAAAAGAGAGCGTGTTATGCAATAATTTCAATTCAATATCGCATAATATTCTATCGGGATATTTTGTTTATTCCGTATTATGTTGCGAACGTTAAGGCGCGAGATTGATATCAGATATTCGATACATTAACCGCGTGATGTGGCGCGGATGACGTGTTAAAATAACGTATGGCTTGCGTTAATACCTCGCGTAACGATCCACATGTTAATGCGACAAAAGTCACAGCGTTCACGTGCCGCAAAGAGAGAAAGCTGCGCGGCAGATTTCGCCGATAACGGTGATGGTATCCGGAAATTACAAGTGAAGACGAGCAGGGATGCGCACGTGACATTCTCTCGAGATGCCCTCGGGTGTTGGAGACAGCTGCTAGTGGTCACGAAGTTTGCCAGTACTTTGCTTGCGTGGTGTTATCAACGGAAGTGTCGTCGTTTTATCGCGATGCTCTGCAAGACATTGTTTTTCAGGCGAGCTGGTTTACTTAGTTCCGCGCGCGCGGAATTCGAGGAGAAACATAGACATTTCCTGTCGTAAAACTGCTCTGACTTTTTGTACTTTTCAACGTTACACGCAAAAAAAAGAGCATGCGCGTAAATTTTTAATGTCGTTTGATTCGCACGTATGGATCGACCTTTTGAAAAAAAAAAAAAACAATGATACTTGTAACATTTGTATTTACGGTTAGTAATAACAACGTCATTAAAATAAAATCTTTGAAATTTCTTCTGTGAACACTTGAAGTCTCGAGAAGGTGCCTGATAGAAAAGTTAAAAGATGAAGTTCTTGTTGTTCGTAAAATTGTTGACATACATCATTGCTGAATGCAGACCCTATCGCGAAGAAACGCAAACTCCGTCCGAAATTTAAATACTTGGGAACTTTTGCGGTTTTAACGAGCACCCACTCCGCAATCCGGCATAAGGGTCTATCAGCGAAGCTGACGTAATATAGCTCGCAGCTGCAGTTACGCTAAACTTCCCAGGTGATATCCTCCGTTATTATCAACCGTCCTAGTGGCGGGGTACTGATGTACAATAGAATGTGTTATTTTAGAGCACCCTAGACCTAGCCGCTTCTTAATAGAGCTTAACTATTTTAATGAGGGATCGTGCCAAGAATGGTTTTCGGGGAGGTGTGGAATATCCACATTTCCGGGCAACACTCCGGTTGCCCCTCTGTCCGTGCTTCTCCATTCCTTTATGAGAATACTCAATTTAAGGAGGCTGTTCCGCGTGAGCGCGTGGCGTCAAATT